GAGGATTTGAAATAGTGGCAAGTGTTGGAGCCAAGGGAGCCCTAACTGCCCTTTTGAAAAAAAAGAATCATGCTCAGTAATTCTCCCAATGCAATGACTTGCTCTAAATTCAATTGGCTTTGGGCATCTTTCTGAAACTTAGAGTGTGGGAGCTACAGACTACAAGGACTAAACTGACAACATTTCTTTGCTAATTGGCCACCAACAGTTAGAAAAAAAGCTAAAACCATAATATGTGTTCAATTCAATTCAACAGAGCATTGATTAAGCCCCACCTGTATACAAAGCATAGTGTTAGGTGTTAGAAAAAGCAGGACATTAAAAAACTGTAGCTGAAAGTCCATGAGGGTGATCTGGGAAGGTGGCACTTGAGCTTTCAAGAAAGCTAAGGACTGTAAGAGGCCAAGACAAGGAGAGAATGTCTTTCTGGCATGTGAACAGAAGAGGCATAAAAGGAGGAGAAGGAGAGGCAAGTTCTGGAAACAGCAAATATTCTAGATAAAGGAGCACAAGATGAGTGGGGGAGGGAGGAAAGAAGAACAAACCTTAAGTCTGGAGAGGACCATTTAGCTAAAAGTCAAAATCAAAAGGATGGTGGAATGGAATGCTGGAAATTCCTGGAGTTAGGAAATCATTTGGCAGAATACAGCCAAGCCTCCTAGGGCAAATAACTTCCATGACTGAACCCAAATGTGTGCCTGCATGCACACTCACGCATATACACAAAGTATCTGCCGTAGCCAAGCATGCCATGTCTGGGGAAGGGAGGGGAGGGCAGTGGAGCCGGTGGTGGAGAAGGCAAAGATATTGTGGCAACGCTCTATCACCTTAGCACTGCTTGGCATCAGCTCCCCAGTCAGACAGTGAAGCCCCAAGGGTACAACAGAAGGGTCCCAGCCACAGACTGGGATGAAGGCTCATTAAGGTGCCCACTCTCTAAGCGCCTTTCAGTTGTCTTCTCTCCAACCTCTTCTTCAAGACTTGTGCTCGTACGCATTGGCACACATGCAGAAGCAAGAAGACACACGAGCAACTGGAGAGGTAATTCTAGGCAAAATAGGGAAGGAATAGTGGATTTGAGATGCATCAGAAGGTAGAAGAACAGCCAGAAAGCTGAAACTATCTTAGGGCCAATGAGGGTGGAGCTAATGAGAGAGACCCTGAAGAAAAAGTTTCCTAATACAAATATTACACATCACAGAGAAGCAGTGGGGTTATGTTCATTCAAAAAAATAGCCAGATGTTTGACTTGGGGTTTTCTCTCTGTTAGAATGTAAGCTCCCTGAGGGCAGGAATTGTTCCACTTTTGTCTTTGCATTCCCAGAGCCTATTAAGCACATACTAGGAGCAGCTGGATTACTCAGTAGAGACTTGAGTTCAAATGCTACTTCAGACCCTGGGCTACTTCAGACCACTTCACCTCTGTTTGCCTTAATCCACTAGAGAAGGAAATAGCAAACCACTCCAGTACCTCTGTTGAGAAAACCCCATGGACAGTATGGTTCATGGGTCATGACGAGTTGGACATGACTGAAATACTGAACAACAAAGGAGCTTAATCAATGCGAGATTGACTGATCCATTAATAATAATAATGATAGCTAACATTTATACAGCATTTACTATTTGCCAGGCGCTGTACTTTCTTCCATTAGGAAGGAACACCATTTAATGTGTCTTGTTTTTGCTCACATTATTTTGCTGTTGATGCTTGCTGTTTATCTACGCTTTAAAAAGTGAATGCAAGATTTCCTGTAGCAGAAAACTGATGCAAATTCAAAGGATTCTCCTGTTTCACATTCAACAACATGTAAAAAACCAAACTTAATTTAGGCCAGTTAAATACAGTATTTCTTCTTTGTCTCTCTCTCTGTCTCCTCTATTAAAAGAGAATTCCCAAATATTGTGAATTCTCTTCTCTTCCTTTTTCATTTTCAAAGATCTTGACAAACACTGACTTTTTCTGTCCCTTGGGCCCACTATCTCTCTACTATCTTCCTAGATTGGCTTCCCTTCCTGATTGCCAATTGTATGAGCATGTGTGTTTTACTGGTTGTAAATACAGGGTTTGAAGGAGAACCATAGAAAGAGGAAATTACAAGCTATGTGACCCCAGGCAATACATCTAACTTTTCTGAATCTGCCTATCTCACAGGGTTGTTGTGAGGAACGCATTTTTTTTTAAATGTTAAGTGCTAAACTTATTTTTGTTTTGTTTTGTTTTACTAGTTGGGGGAGGAAGGTCTGAACCTGTGATTTCAACTGTATAGCATATTCTCAGTTGAGAAAATTTCTACTAATGAAGATCCACATGGAGTCTTAGTTGCCTAGCTCATTGAGAGATTAAGTGACTTTCCCAAGATCACAAAGTCACTATTTGTTATAAGGAGGACTTGAACCCAGCTGTCAATCCAAGACATCATGTTGTCTCTCAAACTGCTAATTATCATTATCATCATTATTATTATTATCAGTAGTAGGAGTGGTAGTAGGTGAAATAAGTTGCTAGAAGTGTCCCTACATGGTGAGCATCTTAGCCCTAAGTACATTTCCCCTCCCAAATTTTTCTGAAATTTCTGAGGTTACCTTCCTTGTTACTGAACTGGTGGCCTGCAAAGAAGGGCAGCAGCCATATTACTAAGAGTCTGACAATGCTTTCTCAGCTGGTTGATTTGGGGCTGTAGCACCGTAAAAATAGGATTGTGGCATGACACTTGGGAATCAAAGCTTCTTGGCAGCTGAGCAATATTTAACCCAATGTTTGATAATGATGCCCTAGTGTTTTACTGTAAAATCCAAAAACTCATCTCAAGTGACACATCCTTGAAAACCTCAGAATCCCACACCATCCAACCCCAAAAGAAAACAAAAACATCCTGAAACCTGTACCCTTCAAAGTCATAAACATGGCATAGATTAGAGAGGGAACTGATGCCAGCTTTTATAAGTCAATCAACCAATAAATCTTTATGTATTAAGGTATGTTCTAGGTACTGGGTTGGGCTCTGAAGATTTGAAGACAGAAGGATTTGAATGTACTTAGAATGTCCTAACATAGTCTCTGTCCTCAAAGAGCTTTCATTTTAATGGTGAGATAGACTATAATAACAGATAAGTAAATATAGGCTATCCACTAAATAAGTGCACAGTGATTGGGGGAGGAGGGCTTTAGGAACTGGAAAAATCATAAAAGCCCTCTTGAAAGGCCGGCATATCTCATTCAGCATAAGCCTATTCTGAATTTCATTTATGATGCCTGCTGGCAGTTGCCAGAAACACAAGAAGGTTGGGGGAGGGGGGAAAAAGAAAAGAAGGAAATTGTTGCCTGGATAGCATTAAGTATTCTTTATATCATCAAACAGGGTTTCTAATCACATTTTGTCAACCTAGAGAGTGTACAGAAAGTGTTTTGTAGTTTCCTTTCTGAGGATATTAAAGGTGTCACAAACATTTATTACCCCCAGAAAAGAGTAATTTCAGCTGCCCTGTAATTCTGCACTTCTCAGCTGCTAGGTCTGCCAATGAGTCCTCTGGACAGCACTCGCCTCTCTTTAGACAGTGAGAACTATAAAATGATTTTTTTCCTAAACAAAGTCCATAAAATCCTTTCTCTTTTCTATTCTAGTCCATATTATGTGACCCTGGCCCCACAAATCATGCCAGAACCACAAGAGCCTTCCAGGGGGACACAGCCGAGCTCTCTGTCCTGACACCCCCAGCCCTTGTTACAGATGTTTTTGGTAAAAGTGGGTGAATCAGTGGCGAAGCAGCAGAGAGAAACCTCAGTGGAAGAGGAAACAGAAAACAAATGAAGATGAGAATGTTTTTTCCTTCCCTTCTAAGCCTCCATCCCTTATGCCCACTCTTCTCACTCCAATATCCATCCCTCTCATTTGCCTACAAATTCCAGATGGGATTTTACAGTCTATGGTTCAAGCATTTATGGAGCATTTACTCTCTAATTCAACAAGCATGTATTAAGTGCATGTTGTGTGCAAGCCACTGTGCTAGGTGCTGGGAATACAAAATTAAATAAACAGTTGCTACTCTTAAGGAACTTAGAATTTATTCAGTATAATGCAGTGATTAGGGGAGGATCCATTTATTCTATGGAATGATAGTGGTACCAGGCACTGTGGGGATTACAAAAATAATGTGACCCAGATAGCTTATGGGGAGACATCATTAAAAGATACGAAATAATTATGCCTCTGCTATGGCCATCCATCATAGCTGTCCCTGATCTAATACAACTTAATTTCTTTTTGGTGGTTGTGTGCTTCTCGGGGTGGTTGTGCGCTTCTCCTGTGCCAGTATTAAAGAGACCTCCCACAAAGTACGGAACACTGGAGAACATTAGTCTGGGTTTAGCTTCTGAGATCCAGGATAGCACTTGGGTACTAGTTTTCCCTAAAGGTTCCTTTTTAGAGCCAGGAAATGAATGGCTTATTGAAGGAAAACACACCAGCCCACCAACTAATTGAAATTGAGAGAAGCTGCCTGGCCTAAGCAAGTGTTGATTTTTCTCAGCTTTGGAACAGGGATGCAAGAAAACTTGGGAACTGTCTTCCCAGCACTGCCATTGACGTGTCCTGTGGCCCGGGGCCAGAGACTTAACTTTTGCCAGTCTTTGCTCTTTTCTCAGGACAAATGGAGATCTGTCATCTTATTGTGGGAACACTAGGTTCCCTAAACAAATGTTTTCCCAGGCAGAACCTGAAATTTGAGAACAGAATCCTGCTTCCCCCAAAGAGTTAATTTTTTGCCTCATTGATTGAAATTCTAAACCACCAAGTAACGCTCAAGCAGGAGAGGGAAAGATTCACTATGCTCTTCTTTTTCTAAACCAAAGCCGGAGAAATAGAGGGTGGGAAGGAAAAGGGGATGGGCGAAGGAGACAGGCCATTTCAAGAGATGAGGAAGAAAAACACATTTTTTAAAAGTGGGTCAGTGGCTGGAAACAAGATCAGGCAGGGCAGCAGCAATCTTAAACAACTCACCTTAGAATCAGGATGGACGAAGCCTGACAGAGCCCAGGGGAGGGGAAGAGGCAAAGGGAGGAGGGTCCTTTGCTCTCCCTCCTCTCTCTTGTCACTTCTTAAACCGTCCTCAGGGTTTGGGTTGCTTTGGGTGTCTCTCTTTCTCTCTCTTTCTCTCCCTACCCTATCTGGTCTCAGGTAAGTTGCAGAACAGGCTTTGAATCAGGAAGTGGAAGGAAGTTGTATGCAAATCGTAACTGAGAACTAGAAAGCTCTGTCTCAATATTTTCCTGTGGGGGAGTGAACTTACAGCAAAGTCACTTCATTTCTTAAAACCGAAACCTCTTTCATGGACTAGAAATGTCCAGTGGCCAATTAGGTTTGCTTTTCCCCTAGACGTTCAGGACTAAAGAAACCGAGTGGAGGAATGCCACTGGGACTTAAGTGGACGTGGCAGTTCCCTTTGGGTCACAGCTTCCGGGAGAAGCTCTCCTGGTTAATTGTTGTTCGGGCTCGTTAATTATTGTTATCAATTAGTTCAGGGCTCCCAGTGGGAAGGAAAGGGGTTTCATGGGGAAGAGGATTTGGAGTAAGAGGCCCTGGGTTTGGATCCCTGGAAGAGTTTTACTAGCTGTGTGAACTTGGACAAATGCTCTCAGCTCTCAGAGCTTCGGAGTTATAAAATAAGGTGCCTGGACCAGAAGACCATTGGGGTCCTTTCTGGTTCTAAATGTGGAATCCTATAAAAGAAGAGGCTCATATTGTAGAAGCTAATTTTATTAAAAACAAAACAAAACACCTTTGCTCCTTGAGCTCCAGAAGGAAGAGTCATTCTGAAGTGTTCCTCATTTGAGACGTGGAAAAAGTCAGTGGATCTGTAGCTACTTTTCAGGCTATGTTGCTCAGCTAGGGTTTCATCCTGGTTCACTTTCATAAAATCCAGGGAATCTCCCTGGTCTTTCATCAAATACATTTAATTTCCCTTCTTTTAGTCAGTCCACAACTTGGTGCAGTGGAAAGCCTATCTGGATTTAGGGTGAGAAGGCATCGGTCCAAATGTAGGCTCTGTCGCTTCTTACAAGTGTGTGATCTCTGGCAAGTCATATCACCTCTCTGGGCCTCAGAGACTGTAATGTAATGAGGGGATTGGATTGGTTGGATAATCTGTAGCTAAGATCACTCCCAGGGAAGTACATCCTCCTTCTGGTATCATTGGTCCTCTTCGAGAACAAAGGACTAACAACAAGGCCAAGGCCCCTTCCAGATCTGCCTTTCGCTCTGTGTCCCCTGTGGCTCAGGCGATGGAAGGCCGACTGAACAAAATAAAGAATCTATGCTTTGTCCTTCAGAAGCCCACAGCTGGATGAAGTCTCTGGGATAAGGACTAGACCTGTGACTTCACTGATATAAGGAACTCCCAGGTAAGGAAATTCCATCCATCAGTGTAGGTCAGGGATTGGGGCAAATGCAAGTTGGGGTCTTGGGTTTAACTGTGGGAGTAAGTAATTCTAGCTCTGGCCTTAAGTAGATACAATCTCAGATAGCCAGTACCCTCTGACCATCTCTGGTTTACCCCAACTTCACTCGTGCTATTTAGCTTGCCCAATAAAAGGAGGCCTTTCCACTCCCTGGAATTGCCAGCCCTCTTGGGCCACCCAGAGCAGTCTCTGGCAGGCATCTCATACAGCAAGACGTTTCCTGGTTTTTGACCTTTCCAGCCCTTTTCTTTAAGCAGTGGAGATGTGGAGCCTCTATATTTCTGTTTAAGCCCTTTACTTATTATATTATCCAGGTTTGTATCTATATAGATTAGGCCTGGTTCAAATTCTTGAGATTGTAAGGTATCCTGCTGATAGTCTAAACTGGGTTTTCTTTGCTTTAAAATAAGACTTAACTTGACCTCCAGACTCATCACTGGGAAATCTCATTGTCCTGCAAAATTGAATCTGCCTGGGTATTCACAGCTCATCAGTACCTTCCGCCCCTCTGATTGGACCCTCTGACTGAGGGCAGGACCATGGGCTCCAGGGTCTCTGTTTAAGAAAGGGGCTCAGCACAGTCTTCTCATTTCCCACCAGCTACATTGCTTTTGGACATTTTTGGACCTCTCCATCATGCTGGCACCATTCCCCTCAACACTTTTCAACTTCCTTTTGTGCCTTGTGTTCCCATATTAGATTTTAAGCTTCTTGATGTCTGGGACTATCTTTTTTTTTTTAACTTATATTTCTATCTTCAGCACTTAGCACAGCGCTTGGCACATAATAGGTGCTTAATAAATGTTTATTGAATTGAACATTTTTAAAGTTGTGTAGGGACACTGAGAGGTTTTCTAAGTTGCCCAGGGTCACGCAACCATATGTATCAGAGCAGGGACTTGAACCCTGGTCTTTCTGGCTTTGAGCCCAGTTCTCTATCCACTGAGTGATGCTGCCTCTATGGGGATAGGAAGATGAACAAGATAAGATTTCTACCCTCAAGGAGTTTATAAGCATCAGCAGCATCCTCCTGATGCTTAAGCTGTTCCACAGCAGTAAGAACACACATTTTTTTTTAAGCTCCTAGGATAAAATTCTGCTACAGGAAAATAACCTGGGAGACTTGTGGCCAACATAGGAACACATTCCTGGGCAATGTGTTGAGAATACCTCTGTGACTCCCTGTCATCTGCTGAATAAAGCCTTAACTCCTTGGTGTGGCCTGGGAGGCCCTCCCACAATCACATACAACCCTATCTTTCTGACCTTATCTTACATACTCCCTACCATATTCTCCAGGCTCCAGTCAAATTATATTTCTTGTGCCTCAGTTATATCCTGTGTCCTCTTATCTTTGCTGTTGACATTCCGTATGTTTAAAATGACTTTGCCCATATTCCTGTCTGTTACCTATTGAGATCCTACACAGCCTCCAAGACTGAGCCTAAATGCCATTTCCTCCTTGAAGCAGAAATGACTTTTTCCTCCTCATACCTCACATGGCACTTTGCAATTTGCTTTCATGTGTACCTAGACTTTAGCAAAGCACCTAATAAAGTCTCCCAGAGTATCTGTGTTGTCATTACCACACTCTTCTCTTCCACCCCTACACCTGACTCCGGGTTCACTTGTGCCACTCCAAGTGCCTTCTTTTCTACACAGAAACTTTGGGACTCACTACTGTGCCAATCTGCCTCAGCACAGTTGCTTGTTTCCAAGTAAGACATTCCTAGAGTAGAAAACATAGACAAGATGTAAAGATGTGGGACAGGTAATAAGACAAATGGATTTGGAAATGGTTGAATAACTGGATGTAAAGGGTAGTCATTAATGATTCGATATGAGTCAATCAACAAGCATTAGTTAAACACTTACTGTATTCCAGGCACTGTGTTAAGGGGGATACAAAGAGAAGTTCCTGCCCTCAAGAAGCTTATGTTCTAATGGAGAAATGCCCTCTGCACACTTAGGTATATACAACATAATAATCATGTTTCTTTACCACTTTAATGTTTGAAAGAACTTTATATATGTTATCTCATTTGATTTTCATCAATCTTGAGAGGTAAGTGTTATTATCCCCATTTTACGGATTAGGAAACTGAAGCTGAGATAGGTTAAGTGACTTGCTCAGAGTACACAGCTAATAAGTGTGATTCAGGCAGGATTCAGTATCAGATCTTCCTTCATCCAGTGCTCTATTCACCATGACACTTAGCTACTCCAACTCTGTTTAACATTTTTACCAGTGCCTTGGATGAAGGAATAGATGGTATGCTTATTATATTTGCTGATGACATGGAGATGGAAAGAATAGTTACTGCACTGGATGACAAAGTAAGGATTAAAAAAAATTTGGCTGGCAAGACAAGGGTTCTTAATCTAAAGCCCCTCAGAACTTTTTTTTTATTTTGATAACTGAATTTCAAGATAATTGATTACCTTTGTAATCCTATTTTTTTTTTTATTTTCTGCATTTAAAAACTGTTTTTCTCATCAAGTGCATTGCTTTTGGACTTCTCTGACATTCTCCAACATGCCTTCCTTCCCAACTCTTCACTGGGAAACCTCACTAGCTGCAAGATTGAATTTCCCTGAGTTAGAATAAGGGGCCAAATTCAATAAGGTAAAATATAATAGACCAATGGAAATTCATATACCTGTTTTTTTTTTAAATCAGCTTCACAAGCACATGGTGTGGCTAGACATAATTTGTGTAGAAAAAAAATATGAGGGTTTTAGTGGACTGCAAGCTCCATATGAGGCCAGAGTATGGTATGGGAACAAAAAAGGCTCAAGTGACTTTAGTCTGAATTAAGAGTGGCATAGAGTCTAGAATGATAATCCTAAAGTTCTCTGACCTGGTTTAATCATATCTGGGATATTGTCTTCCATGTTGGCTCCTCCACATTTTCCTGGGCATTGACAAGCTGAAAAATGTCCAGAAGAAGAAGATCAGTATGGTGAAGGGACTGGTGACCATGTCATAAGAAGATTCATTGAAGGAACTGGGAATATTTAGCCTGGAGAAGAGAAGGATTGAGAGTATGTGGGGAGAATGAGAACTGTCTTCAAGTCTTTGGATAAATGAATGAAAAAATCATTTATTAAGCACTTACTATGTGTCAAACACTGTTCTAAGTGCTAGAGGTGTGAATAAAAAAAGCTAGGCTAATGTTCTCAAAGACCCACACTCTAATTGGGGGACATAACATGTAAAAGAGAGTTCAGCTGCAGGGCAGATGGAAAAGTCTCAGATTCCTAGGGGGCAGAGTCCCCTTGTGGGGTAGATGGAAAGGCCCAGAAATCCCTAGGCTGGTTACTTAAATAATTGAGGTGAGGAGGCAAGGCAGATGGTGCTAAGGGCTGAAGGATCTTAGTAGAAAGGAAGATGGTACGGTCTGATGATCATCTTATGAGAAGAGATGGAATTTTTCACTTCCATCTCATTTCAATCCTGTGAGCAGTCAAGCAGTCCAGGCAAGGGGAAAGACAAAAGGATAGGGTGAGCTAGGTGGTGGTTTCTTTCTGTTTTTATTCTCTGATGGGGTTCTGGGACAGCCTGAATAGGGGAGAGGTATAAAGAGGAATGACATCAAGGTGACACAGTGAATAGATTGCCTGGCCTAGAGTCAGGAAGACCTGAGTTCAAATCTGGCATCATCACTTACTAGCTGTTTGACCTTGGGCAAGTCATTTAATTCTGCTTGCCTCGGTTTCCTTATCTGTAAATGAGCTGGAGAAGGAAATGACAAACCACTCCAGTATCTTTGCCAAGAAAATCTCAAATGGGGTCACAAAAAGTGAGACATGACTGAAAAATGACTAGACCACAAAAGGAGAGGGGAATGCAAGGGATGAAGAGTTATCACTTGGAAAAGGGATTAAGTTTATCTTGCTTAACCCTAGAAGGCAGCAGGGGCAATAAGTAGAATTTGGAAAAAAACATGGATTTCAACTGTGT